GACTTAAATGAAGACATTTCATGTTCCTGAATTGAAACACTTAATGCTGTTATGGAGGTGATACTCCCCAAATTGATCTACAGTTTGAATGCAATCCATCTCAAAATCCCAGCTGGGTTTTTGTTTGATGCAGAAATTGACAAGCTGATCTTAAAAGTCATGTGGAACCCCAAATACCCAAATAATCTTGAAAAAAACAAAGTTGGAGGACTCATAAACTTCCTGGTTTCAAAACTTCTTACAAAGGTACATACAGCATTATAAGACTGGTATTGGCATAAGGATGGCATATAGTTCAATGGAATTGAAGTTAGAGCCCAGATATAACCCTTACATTTATGGTCACTTGATTTGTGATGATGATGCCAAGACATCTCAATTGCGGAAAGAACGGTATTTTCAACAAATGGTGCTAGGACAACAATGTCCACAAGCAAAAGAATGAAGTTGGACCCTTACCTCACACCATGTACAAAAATTAACTCAAAAGTAATCAAAAATCTAAATGGCAAGAGCTAAAACTATCTTTAAAAAACCTACATAGAAAAATACATATCACCACCACCAAGAAAGAAAAAAATAAAAATAAAAATACATAGATATAAACCTTCATGACCTTGATTTAGGCAATAGTTTCTTAAATAAGACATCTTAAAGCACAAAGGAAAAAGTAGATTACCGTATTTCCCCATGTATAAGACGCTCCCATGTATAAGACACCTTAATTTGGGGGCCCGAAATTTGAAAAAAATATTATATAAAGTTATTGAACTCAAGTTTTATTCATCATAAAATTAATACAACTCCTCATCACTTGCAAGAAATGCAAGTAAAACAATCTACAACCACTGTATAAGATGCACCCAGTTTTTAGACCCAAAATTTTTCGAAAAAGGATGAGTCTTATACATGGGGAAATATGGCAATTAGGCTTTATCCAAATTAGAAACCTGTGCTTCAAAGGAAAAACAGTAAACCCATAGAATGGAAGAAAATACTAGATTTCCAAATCATATATCTGATGAATATATAAAGAACTCTTACCACTCAATAAAAAGACAATGGGTAGAAGATTTGAATAGACATTCTCTAAAGAGGAGTGACTTCTAATGGGTATGGAGTTTCTTTTGGGGGTTGATAAAATGTTCTGAAATTAAATAGTGATAATGGTTTTACAACACTGAATAATCTAAAACCTCTGAATTCACTTTGAAGGGGTGAATTTTAATGTTACATGAATTATCAAAAAACACAGAAATGAAATCTTTTGTAGGAATTCTTCTCGGTTATTTGGTCAATATGTTCTTGAGATTCATTCATGTAAATGCATGCAGTTATAATAGCTAGCTAATTTGTTATCACTCTAGTGTGATGTTGCATTGTATGAATAGTCCAAAATATATTTACCCATTGTCTGCAAGAATCTTTTTTCTAGTTTTCTTCCTACCCGCTCCCCTTACAAACCACTGTGCTCTAAACATTCTGGTTGGTGCCCTGGAGTATGAGCTCAACTCCTACTGGCTGGGGGGTGGTGTGCTCCTGTGTGCTGTGAGATGCGCTTCTCCCTGTCCCCGGGTTGTCTTCCCACGTACTGTCCCACCAGCAGTTCATGAGATTTTTTTCATTGTTCCACAACTTTGCCAATGCTTGTGTTTGTCCAACTTTTCATTTTTGGCAATCCGGTGGGCACAATGGTATTTCATTGTGGTTTCAATGTATATTTTCCTTATTAATAAGAGGCAGGTTTTCTTTTTTGCTATATCAGGTTCCCTTTATGATGTTATGCCTATTGAGGATTTTGTCCTTTTCCCATTGACTCATAATTCTTTACATTCTAAGAATGCTTATTCTTTATCAGTTTTGTGTATTGCATATATTCTCTAAGTTTCCTTTTAATTGGTCTTTTTTAAACTTTGTATTTAGAAGTGTTTCTGGCATACATTAAAGTGCAGAGAACCATTGAATGGATTCGATTCACCCATCACCAAACTTCAGTTATTAATTTTGACTCAACTAGTCCACCTGTTATGCACACCCTGGGTTATTTTGAAGCGAAATCCAGGTATCATATCATTTCAGTATATATTTCAAAGTGATAAGCAGTCTTTAAAAAAATATTTATCGGTTTTCAGTCATGGGTTGATTTCCTTGTGTCCTCCAAAGATAACTATACAGAAGATTTTTCCCTGTATCAAAAATATGGGTTTAGGGCCGGGCGAGTGGCACGATGGTTAAGAGCTGGCTTGGGATGCCAGAGGGCCCTGGTTCAGATCCCACATATGAGGGCCATTGACACTGCCCTCTACAGCTAAGATGCTGAACAACAGCTCAACCTGGAGTTGGGCTGCTGTGAGTCACCGGCTCCAGCGTAGGCTGCAGCCCCTGTGGCAGTGGGTTGCCATGGGCTACCGTATGTAGCCAGCAGCCAGCGTGAGCGGCCAGCAGCCGCAGTGAGCGGCCGTCCAGAAGCCGGCAACTGGTCTGCCTCGCCCGGGAAGAGCACAATGATGGTGCCAGCTTGGGCCAGTGAAGCAACGTCCTCCACAACTAGACTGAAGAACAAAACGACAGCAACTTGTCTGTTCCCCTTCTCCCAATTCCCCAGCACTGTTCCCATTCCCCCCAATTCCCCAATAAAAAATATATATGAGTTTAACTATACTTGATGAGTTTCATCCCTTGCACTTATGTACTATTACTGATGTTCGAATTGCCCCATCTTTGGCCATTGGAAGCTTTATTCAAACTGGTCCCTGTCTTTCCGGCACTCTCCTCATAGTCTTTGGCTGCCTCCTCTCTCCTGGTATGAAAAGGTGTTCCAGGTTCATCTTTTACATTTGCTGCCCCAGACCTGAATCAACCATTGCTCTGAACATTCCTGTTCCTTTGGTGAGAAATGGTATCTAGAGGCCCCTGGATGCAAAGATTCTCATTGTTACAGGACCAGTCAGCTTCTAGGTCCTTTGAGGAGACAGATAAGAGATTTTTTTCTCTAGATATAAAATATATCTAGGCAATTATAATTATACTTGCAATTCAATTGAGCTATAGGTTTTTATTTAACCCTAATGATATTATATCAGCATCTCGTTTCAACTTTGTCAGAAATCTCCTTTCAGTGACACTAATATAATGACTCATTTGACTCACAGAATATGCAAAGAATGGCCTCCTTATAGCAGTGCCACCAACAAGAGAAGTTTGTTTTTACAGTTCTTGTCCTGGGGTGTACCCGCCCCCACCCCCAGGAGGTAGAGTTAAAGGACTATAATTTCACATTACTTAGAACAGTGCCTCTTGGGGGAGCACCATCACTGGAAACAAAGTTAGGTTTATTATTTTTTTCTTTTTTATAACTTCAGTTTTTTTTAATTGCTTTAAAAATGTTTTATTTCGGTCTTTTGTATCATGTAAAATCTTTACATGGCTACAAAGTCAAGTTGGCAAAAAAAAAAATATATATATATATATATATATATATTTAAAGAACTCTGGCTTGCTCTCCATCAGGATTTTCCTGCGAAGGCTCCAGGGACATCGCAGGATGGCGACCTTGCTCTAGCCCCCAATCCCACCATCACTTCCAACCAAGTCCTGTGGCATATAAAGTTCTCCCAGTGATTCCATCCAATATTTTCATTAGCCAAGCAACTCTTGCCAGACAACCTCAAGGAGCCTGGATATGTAATGTTGGGAGTGATTGGCCAGATCAAGTCATGTCCCTACTGCCTTCTTCACGAGAGATACGTAATGATTCATCTCATACTGCTTCATTTTTGTGCAGAACCCTTGAGACTGTCAGGAGCAATGTGTCACACTGAGATTTAAAATTAAACTGGATCCAGGTGGCCTCCTCCGTGTTCTAATTGGACTATGAATGTGTTGAAATGACCAAAAATTAAGTCCCTGAATATCCTTATCAAAATATGAACAGAAAAAGGCCAGACCTATGTTTTAATAGAAAATAGATGAAAATGGACTGAGTTTGTCCACAGTGTGTTGATAAGCAAGGCAAGGAGACCCCTCCCAGGAGACAGAAGCAGAGAAATGCTTCTAGGGTTGTAATTTATCAATAACGAAGGAATTTGCCGGGCTGCTCCCAAGATGGACCGTCAGTGTTCGAGTTCTGGGCACCTCCCACCAACCCTGGGGAGCAGACCTCTGGTGGCACAGAAGGAGTCACAACCATGATGTTATTTCAGTGAAACCACAGGGAAAGCAAACACGTAAGACTCGCTGTGGCCCTCAACCCTGCCCTAACCAGGGCAGAAATTAGATTAAGGGGGGAAAACAAACACTTTCAAATATCAGCAACAAATGGCTTTGTTTGGAGCGTTCTTGCCAATCTTCAAGGGTTAGATAATTCCCATGCTTCATAAATAATTACAGACTATAACGGGAAAAAAAATTCCCAATTGGGTTTTCAAATCGAGTCTAACTCACTACTTGCCCAATCCCTGTCACCTTTACTTTCTGGTTCTATGCCACCT